TACACACACACACACACACACACACACACACACACACACACACACACACACACACAATATATTAATATATATATGGTTAGCTTTGCGGTATCTGATTCAATATGTGAATATACAATCGTGTGTTGGGAGGGTGTCATAGTCTGACCTCTGTATATGATGGATGGGGCTCGAGAAGCTTTTCCACTACCTGTTTGATAAACCTGCCAATTCTCTGTTTCATTAGTATTCACAATGATGCCGTCATGCAGTGAACATATGGCGCGTCTGATCTGTTGTTTCGATTTTAAGCTCACTCTTTTGATGCTGAAGAGCGTTACACATGAAATACCAAATGGTTGAGCTGTAAAGCATCAGGCATCAGTTGACACCTTGAATAATGTACAAGCGAGCGGCGACCCATCACAGTATTCGTAAATCTGTATACCAGTGATGATAAACCCCGGTAAACTTATCATGTGTGTACTGTTTATTGCATTTCAGCCCTTCTTACGGCTCCGGCGGAACCCACTTTCCTGGGTGTTATAACTGCGCAGAACGGCGCCCTCTACGAATTGAACGTCAATTCAGGTACTTACTTTTAATGTTTGCCTCATTTGTGCGTGGTTCTGAAGTTTGATTTAATATTGGTAGGTGCGTGGCGTATTTACATTCTTGTATATGTATACCTGGTAATATATGTAGGTATATGGTGATTTTTTGCTATGTAGTTGACATGATATCATTCAGGGTTGTTATCTATTTCACGGTGTAAACGAGAAGCGTATGATTTTTTCGTGCATTTCTGCATAGCCATTATATTTCTCCATAGTGTTTTTTGTTCAGAAGGCTATGATTCCTCATACTTCTCGAAGCCTGAATCCCGTATATCATCTATTCTTTATTTCTAGCAGCCATGCCCACAATTAATATTGACGCTTCCAACATGGACGGTGATCCGGAAGGAGGGCCAGAGCCAGGCTCCGCACCTACGTCACCATCCGACAAAGATGGAAACAAATCACCATCAGCAGCTACACACAATGTCTCACCCAATCCATCGCCGGCTGCCAAAGACCATGCTGCAAGAACGGCCAAGGTGGATGGTAATCCACAGTAAACCTTGTGCCCACTTTGGTTATAGAGATGTACAACGGCTAGTATGATGGCGTGTATCAGTGATTCTACGACTTCATTCGACTACAAATGAGCCGGGCTCAGCACCCGCGCCTTAATAGAATATCGGCACTGAAACGACTCAGGGCCTTCGGCTATGTCCAATGGCGAATCCAAACCATCGCCTTTTGCCAGAGGTGTGCTAAAGTGCTGCGCGAGGGTCCGAGCGCGCGAGGTTGATAGTATGCCACAATCATCAGTCACATTTTTCTCTGATTGTCAATTTGTTAAAGACCTCGAGAGATGTGTGGTATTGGTAGTACTATGGACATACAGTTCAAGCATCACGTTAAGATGACAGTAGTATATATACGAACAGTGATCGTCGGCGGCCACGTCGGACTCACCTGAACCATGCCGATTGCCGAAATTAATTCAGCAAAATGATCTCAAGGTGGGTGGATCTTTGTGCAGTATTCCGTTGTACTCACTTGGGACGTATGACCTGGAACTTAAAGTGACAGTGTCCCTGCCAGATCTACGGCTAGAATCCGATTCGAGGTGTCCATATAACTGACACCATTCTATAGACAATTGCGCTGGAGATGGGCTTCAGAAATTGGCACAAGTTGTACCAAATGTCACGTCCAAATCATATCTCGATACCGGTGGCAATGCCACGAGAACCTTCCAGGTAGTAAATTTACCGCAATAGACCATTGCATCTGCGCTGAAAGATTGAATATTCAATGCATGTGCGACTGCTACATCTATTTGAGTAGTAGTTGATTCCTCTGCATTGCTATGGAGTAAGTTCATCAGCGTTTCTGCGCACAGGCACAAGTAATGGATCTGAGTCAAGCCTCTTGCATCAAGCTGGCTGATTGTATGGTCGTTTTACGTCGGTCGCTGCTGATGTTCATACTAAAAGGGGAATCATAGTACTTTGTATTGGTATGATCTATCTGCATTAAAGAGTGGGGGTTACTATCGACCTCGGAGATCCCCCCTCTTCCGTATTGTGCGGCTTCATAGGAAATTTTTCAATATCAGAGATTAGTACAATTTATTTTAGATTGTACGAACGTATATAAAAGCGGGTTCAAGGATCAGCTTCTATTTGCATGTAGACCGACTGTATTCTTTACCATCGTCCTATGTTTGCTTCCTTATTTGCTAAGGTAGCTGAGATGGGAACAATAAACCCCCATTAGTCATATCCAATGTCAGAGCTATATCGCACATGTTCCGACGTACGCCATGATAGACAGTGGAGTAGATCTGGTGAGTGATGACCAGGGTTTTTGTTCCAATATCAGTATGAGCAATTGCATATGATTTTATATCACAGCATGGAGTACCTTTTTTCTCTACCGATGTCAAGGAGAGAGGGATAGATAATAAGATATAGAACATATTTATGTGTGACAGTTTGGAAGCCTGAGAGTGAGAGGGTAGGGTCGTATCTACAATTTTCCAAGTCGTAAACTCATCTAACCCATGCTTAGAGGAATCAGGAAACAACAGCCGTCCTATTGGTTGAGTTTCGAGTGTTGCGTTGTATGTATATTGATACGGGTGGTTAGTTGTACTTGTTAAAATGGGTGGTTAGTTGTACTTATTGCTCGTTATGCTCTCCCTTCATGTACTTAATATGTACTGCTAGTCTGACTTGTGGTGTTTTTTTATTGAAAAGAAAAAGCAAAAGACAGACATAGCCTCCTTAATCAAACAACAAAGAATTTAACACTTTTACGTTATTAAAAAATATAGAGTGATAAAACAGCTGTAGTCTGTAATCACTAATCAATATGTGAAGCCTAAGATTTTCAGGTTTGGTATGCAGCATGATTTGCTAAGTCTCACTCATCTCTCACTCTGCCGTGCATGATTTGAAACTGAGTGAAATACATTTCTTAACAAGAATAAACACTGCCTTTCGATAGTCATTAGTGCCTCCCCCCCCCTCCCCCCGCCGGTGTGCGCGACTGGGCTTTTGCCATCTGGGTTTAGAGGCCATATATACCTTGGGCCTTGCTCCTTGTTGGTACATACCTCGTCCCTCGATCAGAGAGCTCGGTTGTTTCGGTTACTCCCGCGGCCCGGCAGCAGGAAGACCTGGGAAGGTACACACTGTAGAGAAAACAGTATGAACAAATTAAAGGTGTATTTATATCACTGATTACTGTAACAATATACTTTTGGTTGACCCCTGTTCCTTAATCACTTGACAATGCGTCAAATAAGGGCCTACCTTTGGTGTTTTGATATAAATGGTCACAAACAAAACATGTAGTAGAATAAAGGAACGTCCCCTACCCTCTGCTGGGGTTCAACTGTATCCACATCGCGCTTCGGTATTAAACAAGAATGAAAGCTTCGAGCAATGCTTTTTTAAAAACACGATAGTATAAATATATGAAGTTGAAAAGATATATAGGCCAGTCCAGTCCATATCAAAATATGCTGCAGTAAGTCAATCTCTTCGTCAGTATTGTCAACATCATCGTTCGCCACAACATTTCTGATCCTGGTAGCCGTTAAAAATGTCTTTGGGGTTGACCCATTGGACGATTTGTGCGACCTTGAGAACTTAGGTATTGCCGATGACTATTAAATCGCTTTACAAAGCTCGGGTTTCCATTTTGACAGTCATGGTTTCTACACCGCAACATCAAACTTCACGGCAACGGTACAGCCAGTAGAGAGCAGAATTGGCTTTCAATAATCGTACGTGTGGGATGAGACAGACACTGAGCCCGGATTCCGAGAGTCCTCAATTTGTGTCTCACGAACCTGAAGTCTCCGAGAATGATCTTTACGGTGCTCAATTGTATTAATACCAGAGACAATGAAAACGACCACTTAACTGGTACATTTTTCCAGATGAAATACACTGCACCAGACGTAAGTAGGAGTAAGCCTCAACAATGTCGTGCGGTAGCAATGAAGCCGCATGAAAGTTTCATCGCAGAAACGTCGGAGTCGGAGCATTTCAAGGGTGTTGGTGTCGCCTATATTGAATGTCGATGGGTGAGTGATGCACCCTCAGTACCAGCGGATAGCTTAACGGCCGCCGAGTCAGAGACTAACGAGGCAGCATTTGAGGCACCTCTAGCCGCAAGTGTAGAGGATTCTGAACCAACTGTAAGCGAAGCGGCTTCCGAGCCAGCTGTAGGCGAGAAGGCTTCTGAACCAGCCGAACGTGAGGAACTGACTCACCCTCGCGCCCGACGAAATATTTGAAGTTTTGAGAGTAGCTAAACACAGTCTAGCTATATGAGCTATCACACACATCTATATATATTATGAAGTAATATGAATATACATGCCATGCCATCCCATGACATCAATGAAATACTTGTGTAAATATGTATTTAAAATCATAGCCTTCTGAAAATTGAACAATGAAGACCAAGGTATGATTATTATTGCTAAATATAATCAGTTAATCACTGCAGCTTGTTGCTATGTACCTTGTCATCACTTTTTTCTGAGCGTGTCCTTTTTGTATCGCTATGTATTTACATTTTACAATAAATATGCTTTTTGCCAACAAGTGTAAATAAATAGGTATGTACTTCGGTATGCAAAAATTCATAAATGTAGTTGGTAGTGTACAGCCACTGTGCTCTCGCAACCGCTATCATCGGACTCTATTGTTATCAGATCATTAAATAGCGGTGTACGTACGTACACGTATATACGCATGTATATCTATATATCTATATATATATATAGATATATATATGTATGTGTACACGTAAATTGTGAATTGACACACCAGAACACTATAAGTTAATGTCAATATGGCAGCTGTATCCCCTGCATCCAGCGCACCTGCCTCGGCAAAAAGCTCTAGCAATTCACAACAACAAGAAAATCACACGCTGCCACCTAACAACGGTGCCACTTCACGATCAGACACACCTTCAAGCAAGACAAACACAAACACGAACAGGTTAAGCAGAAATAGCCATGACATGTTATTGCCCGGTCAGTCGGTCTACTTCGACAAGGCTGTATTTAGCTCGGCGAGTTTCAATGCCGATGTATTGTTGACGGCTGTAAGGGTCTCCGGGACCCTTCCAGGGCTCAAAAATGAGCTGCAGGGGTTTCTAACAACACTCAAACGAGACCTCATCGAGCTAATCAATAAGGACTATGCTGATTTTGTAAACTTAAGTGCCAATTTAGTGGGCATGGATAAAGGTATCGATTCGATAAGGAATACGTTAACGGGAGTAAGAGAAGACATATCTCACGTCCGAACGGAAGTTGAGAAAGCGATGAGTGCCTTAAGTGGCAAGCTGACAGAACGTGCAGCGGTAAGAAATAATATATATATTTGTTTATATATATATCTCCCTATATATATATATATATATATATATATATAT